GCTTTGACTATATAGTCAAAGGGGCACAGATTTATTGCTGCACTCCTGAACTAGTGCACACTGGTGCAATGAGTTGGAATGAGAGGTAATCTATTTGTTTCATTTTAACTTATTGCACTAGTTCAGTAGTGCAGTAATAAAGAACAGGCCTACTATCGGGTGTTGGCCATCTTGGTACTGTCATATCCGTTGCAATAGACATTTCTTTCCCCTCACCCTTTGTGGTTCGCCCCCGCGACACGTAACGTTGTGTGTAGTGTGTACAAAGTCTTATAACACTCCATCGCGATGGCGGCTCGGCCTGCCGATTGTTGGCATCGTTATTTCGCTTCTTTTCTATTAAAACCTTTTCTATTAAATTAACGATTCCTACCGAATCACGGTTCAGATTTCGTGCCAAGTGATGGTGTGGTGCTCGATGATGTTCGACCTTTTGTCCTAAACTCAAAGCTCGGGTTTTACAATGTGGCCGAGAGAACCGGAGCTGAAGGTACCGAGAACGTGATTTCACTCCGCGAAAGGGTGGCAGGACGAAATGAATGGTATACATGTTATTTTTTTGTCATTTCAGCGTATCGATGAGTTGTTACATTGTGGAATATGCTACGAGTATATGGACACCAGCGTGATAACCTCCTGCTCCCACAGCTGTAAGTAATTCTACGAAGAGATCCATATCATCACAGTCGTGTTAACACCGGTGTAACGGATTCATCCCTCTGTCGACCTGAGTCTTTCAGTTCTCTTTATGTCTGGGACCATTTAGAGATACACTGGGATTATCGCTGATAGAGAAATGATTCTCAGATCATCATACCACTCTGATCCCTTAAGATACGCTTTAGTCGATTTAAACGAGTTTTACTGAGGGAGACCCGAAGGAGGGTCGAAACGTTTATTAAAGAGAAATTTTGTTTCTAATTTTTGAGAACCGTTTTCTGTTCATTTGTGGCTCACATTGGCACTCTTTCCTTTCTACATATTTTCTTTCTTGGGCCTTCACAACATTTTGGAATATCCATATTATCTATTACTCGTATACTCTATGTCTCCGTATTTTTAGATTGTTCCTTGTGCATTAGAAAGTATCTGCATTATAAGACCCAATGTCCAATTTGTTACGAAGAGACTTTCGAGAAAGACTTGAGAAAGAACAAGCTCTTGGACGAGATTATCATTCAGTATTTGAATTTCAAGGAGAAACACGACAAGAGGTTCCATCGTGAAACATTACTGACCGCGAAGGACGATAACTCTGAAACTGTGTGCTCTGTAGATAATTTCGAATGCAAGAAAGAGCAAGATGTTCTTGATGCAATCGAGGTGTCGCACAAAAGTTTTGACAGCCCCACGCTCGCGGCTGGCAATGTCACGCCTCGCGGGCGAAAAGATCATCAGCAAGATGTATCCACTCCTAGTACCAGTGCGGATCTTAGAATACCTTTGATGTTTACGCCGAAGAGTAAAAGGGGTGTTCAAAAGGAAGAAGATTGCCAGATAGTTACATGTCCGGTGTGCAAAGTAGGAGTGTTCCAAAGTAAAATAAATAGACATTTGGACGATTGTTTAAAGAGGGAGAGTGCAAACGACCAGCCTAAAAAGTAAGCGTTCTCTTGTATTGTTCTCTCGAGCTTTCAAAGGAAATTACTGTGATCTGGATATCTGGTTTGTCTTAATATTTTTTTAGATCTTTCCTTACTTGCTCGCTTATTTCCAGAAGCGAACCGAAACGCAAACCACTGCCAAAGTTAGTGTTAAATTTAATGAAGGATAATGTCATACGAAAAAGACTGAAAGAGCTAGGTTTATTTTCTCAAGGAGATAGAAAAGCATTGGAGAATAGATTGCAGAGATACACGATTCTTTATAATGCAGAATGCGATAAAACATACCCTAGACCTGTCGCAGAATTAATTAAGCAATGTGAAGAAGAAGAGAATTTCGAGAAGAAAGTACAGAAACCATTAAATGTAAAGATATAATATATACATATATATCAATTTTTGATATTTGATCTTAAAATTTTTCTAGATTTTAATGCATTAAATTTTTACAGAGATTGAACGTCAATAGAAATACAGAACACAATGTTATAGAGCAACAGAGAAAGAAATATCGTAAGTATTTGCAAATTTTGCAAATGGTTGAAATATAAATATTATCAATTCTCTTAATTTTCTTAATTTTCTTATTTTCAGTGACCACAAATAAGGATAGTTTCGACCAATTAATTGCTAGAATCAAATATGACAATGGTCCACAAAAAATATCTGTTAGGCGCAACATATTAAACAAAAAACATTCTGATAATGATTGTGTTATGGAAAACGATTCAACTATTAAGGATCGTCAGAAAACTCATTTTCTACCACTAATTTCTACCACTAATTGTATCGAAGATTCGGATAAGGATCGTCAGAAAACTCATTTTCTACCACTAATTTCTACCACTAATTGTATCGAAGATTTGGATTTGAACACATCTTGTCCCTTGCAAACATATTTTAACGAAAATCCTAATCCTATAAATTTCTTAAGTGTCGAATTAAATTCTTCGTCTGACGACTCCACCGACCAATGTGCTTCCAACCATAATATTTTAAACTATCCATGTAAAACTAGTCCAGATTCATTTAGTTGTACTAGAAAAATGGAAAGTGTAAAGGTCGAAAAACTATCTCCAGAAAATATTCTAATACATGAAGAAATAACTAATCGATCAAGCCAGTGTGATGTTTCGGAGAGTAAAATTGATATTGACACTAAAAGATCAGTTTCTGAAGTGGAAACAGAAAATGGAGAACAAACTAAATTATCTAAGAGAGATAGAAGTGGCCCAAAGACAAATTTGGATAAATATGTTACATGCTCTGAGCCTAAAGATAGATCGCAGATAGAATTATACAATGAAAGTGTAGATATAATTGTAGAAGATATCGATCATATTGTTGAAGACAGTGACATTGATAATCAGGAAGATTACGGTGAATAATCCTTAATATTTAAAAAATCTGACTAAAAGTTATTTCTTTTTAGTTATCCCTTTCTATTAAAAAGTTTCATGAAAGAATTTTACTTTTTATAGAGAGGTCAAAGCACGAGCAATTAAATAAAGCGATGGAGGATTATGTTTCTGGCAGCACAAAATTTGAAAAAGAAAACCTGAAGGCACTCGACCAAGATTTGACAACTAGGATTTTTCGAAAACGGGAACGCGAAATAGCATTTGCGTTAAACGACGTGGAAATAATTGCGGATAGAGCGATGAATACTAAGAAATTGCCCCGGTTTGGCCTTAGCGAAGCTAAGGGATTTAACAATGAAAATCCTGGCGAAACTGTGCAGGACGAAGAAAAATCACAAAGTGAGAAGGAGCAGTCGCAGACAATTCGCATAAATAATGTACGTAATTTGGCGAGAAAATCTGTTCGATTGAGAAATAAAATAAGTAATAAAGGAAAGAAAATTAGCAACATGAGTTGAATCATGGAATTAATAGAATCATGAAAATTATTTTATATATCTTGTTGAGCATTATAAAATATAAAAATAAAAATGTTAGATTAAGTAAGTCTTTTGTAATTTTGACTAAGTACTCAATCGTTGTCTATATTTAAATATCAAAATTTTTGTACTTATAGTGCCTTTGATATGAAAACAGAAATACATAATATTTATTTTTAAGGCATAACGAGAATAAAAATTATTAAAAAAAAAGAAAATAAAAGGATACATTATATGTTGTAACTGAAAATCATTCTGCTTCTTTTATGTGCAGCATATTTTACACTTGAATAGTAATATATTATTTACTTTTTGTAAGAAATTTGAAGATCATTTGACTTAGTTTTATAAATATGGTTATATATATTTCGGACGGTCTTAGTTATATAAGTGTTTGCATTTTTTATGTTAATTATGTGACTTAATTGATTAAAAAATGTAATAAAATAAAAAAGCTTGAGAATTCGATATATTCGCAATATATTTCCTATTCCTATATATTTTACTATGTCATTTGAGTGTGTTGTTAGGAATAGTATTGAAATCATTATCAAAGAAACAATTTTATTGAATATATGTATATATATATTCAATATGCATATACACATGTATACATATACACATATATACATATGCATACATATATATGTACATATAATACCAAACAGGAAAGAGATTGAACGATAAAACGATCGGTGCAACTTTCGATAAAACTTACACACATATCTCGAATGTATGTTCATAGATTCTAACAATAATTTAATAAGCTTAACGTAATGTCAAAATATAGCTGCCCGTCTCTAACAATCGGTTACACAGTAAAATATTCGTCTTTGATATTACACAACTTTGATATTAGTACAACTTTGGTATCGATTTATACAATTGTACAATTAACTTTATGTACATACTGTGTAATTCGCACGATAAACTCGTCTAAGTTTGTAGATTTACAGCGCTAATGTTCTAAACGGAACGACTATCACATTCATTACATATCGTTCTCATCTAAGTTTTACTTAATATTATTGCACTGTTATAGATTGTTAAAACTTTATATCGTGCCGACACCTCTCTCCTCGCTTGCGTGCGAGGTGTGTCATTATCGTAGGAACGAAAATTTTTCTACGGCTCGGGAAGCGTCGTTGATGTAACAATGTTAAACGGTTCGTGTACTTTGACAAGCTTCTGTCTCTAGCTCCCCTATTTAGCGGTTTTTTTCTACAACATTAACCGTTTGATAGAATGATCAGTATCATTTCTTCTGTGATCATTTGACATTACATGATTAAGGATACATATACATAAGATCAGGAAATACATGCTTTCAGGCATAAAATATCTTTTTCCTTAAACAGATTCGCGCAATTAACAATAGTCTCTGTTCCGCTGTGGTATGGCATCACGCGAGGTAGTTACTCGAACGTTGATACATCCCTCAAGTATACATGCTACAAGCGATTCTAGCTTTTATCCCGTGCGTAGCTATCTGCCGGTCTTCCCGGGGAAGATCGAAATGTATAGAGATGCGTGAGACATTATCTTACAAGCAGTAGTCACAATTCATTTATCGTCAGATTCGTCAGCGACCCATTCACGATTCACTCGTTCCTGGCGCTTACGATAGATTGTCTTTTGATTCGCTAAGAGACCAGAGATAGCAGCCTCAAAGAAGTTAAATATTAATACGGCGAAAAAACTAACTTCGCCGCAAGAAAGGCCAATTGTCTCTTACTATTTATTTAGTCAGTTAAATTTATTACTTTATTTATAAATTTTATTTCATCATTAAAGGGAAATTCCTGAAAATAGATTATCTCTTCCGCTTGAGTAAGGAAACTCCGTCGAGTTCCTTTTATCACACGCTTTAATTACGAATATTAATTATTGTAAATTCTCATCTAATCACGAATGGACGAAGTTAAAGCCGAAACGTTAGCTGCCTCACGATGAATTCACGTGAAATTTACTTCTCATGCACGACGGCGGGGGGGGGGGGGTAAAATTAATTAATCTACATTTGTTATTCGTATGAATTCGCGATAATAGACAAGCTCTTTCGGTAAAGTTACACTTTCTGGGATAAAAATACAGTATTTACACGGTACATGTTTAGCGTAGCTCTATTTTCGGAGGAATCGGAGGAGGAATTGTCAGCGCCTTCGGAAAAATATGAAATCCAATATTAATTTTAGTCATAAGTTGAATTATTTTAAGTGTACGTCAGGGAAAAATAAAATTATATCATTACCGTCAAATTCACTTACAGCTACTTCTGCTATTTAAATTTCTATCCTTTGTAGAATTCTCTCTAATTCTTTTTTTTTCAAATAAGTATATTGATAGAATATGCACGATTTATAGAGATATGTAAGATATCTACTACAAGCTCCCAAATGAGTTTTTCTTCCCACGCTCGTGAACATTACATTGTTTAAAAGAATATCTTTTTACAACTATATACAATATCTACCGCAATTTCGTAAAAAAGATAAGATCGTAATTAAGATCGTTTTCCTGCTAGATAATTAGTTTCCGACTGAGCCGATCGCGTCTCATTTCGCAGCATTGTTTCTCTCTAATCGTATTTTGATTGATCCTTTTTGATTCTCGAATTCGTTGGAAGAATACGCATTAATCATAAGAGGCCGCCACTCTTCCGTGAACATCACCGCAAATTATCAGGAATATTATTAATGAGCGCCGATAATTCGAGATCGAAGAGATTCAAACTTAGGGGAGGGCACTTCGATTATCCTATAATTAATGCGCAATCTGTCGCGCGGTCGGCATGTCGAATGTTCTTTTGGGATGAATCGCGTTATAATCACGTTTCAGCGGAACTGCAATCGTAAATAATATTGATTCGCGGGCGAAACCGGGAATTCAGTGCGATGCCCCAGGACGACATCTTAGTCCCGCATCCTCGGCGAGTTGGCTTCCTTTCGGAAGAATCCCGCGGGAACTAATCACTCTATATCTCCGGATATTCGTCAGGGATATTATCTGGATGGCATCTGCAAACATTTCTCGACGGCAGTCTTTTGTGATCGACCGAGTCGAAGACGATCCCTTTTTCTCCGATCGGAGGCGTCCGCGCTGCTTTTCACAGAGCGAAAGTATCTCACGAAGATGCTACTTCGTGAACGTTCTTCACCGTTGACAGTGACGGGTTTACTTTTTTTTTCAACGTCGAGAATCCGCCATTCATGACATCTCTTATTGTATTTTCTTCTTTTGTAATCTTTTTATCTTTTTTTAATAATAATTACTACTTATTTCTACCATCTCTCATTATTTAAAACTTAACGAACGTGTTGAGGAAAATCAGCGTCTCTTTTCCTGGTTGAACTTTCTTCACGGCGGACTTACGTCTAAATCAAACTCGCCGTGGCTCCATTGATAAGGAACAATATCGATTAGATCATATCTCTTTCGGTTTTTCTGTTTCGATCACGCACTGGACTAGTGTCACGTTACATTATCTTGTTTGGATCTCCTCATCACCGTGATGCCTATCGAGCCGCGTATCTTCCGCAATAGATCTATTATATCAGCTGTTGACATGTCCTCCACGGTCTCCTCGTTAACCTGGGGAAGGAAAAGACGATACTTGTAAGTATCATCTTATATAGCAAAACAGCCTCGAGCCCTCGTAGCACAGTGCAAATACAACCAAATATTGGGCCAATGTTTAACCAATGTTTGGTCGATGCATTACACTACTAGGGAGGAAGTCTACGTTAATCCCTTTAATCTTCATAATTTCAAAGTAACGCGTTTCATAGATATTATTTATTAGGAATATAAATATTACCACAAGCTCATGATCAAAGTTGTGAGTTACAGACGATTAATATTACCGCCGAGATATTTGATTCAGTAATGAAATTCTCGTGAAATGTGGAGGAAGAAGTGGAGGGCAGGCTCGATGTGCGAGACTCACCATCAGTAATACGTCGCCCTGCCTGAGTCTGCCATCCTTAGCCGCGACACTGTCAGGATGCACGACCGATATCACCGTACGATTTCCTTCCGGCTGCAAGCTAAAACCCAGCCGACTGTTCCACCCACGCGTCAGCTCCACCATGAACACCTACAATAGCGAGAGCGGATTGCGCAACATTGCGACGCGACATCCCCAATAATCGCGATTCCAACGTTAAATTAAAAACAGTCAAGCGACGAAACGAAACAAAGCGTATGTCCGATATTTGAATTTAATCGTTGTATTTCAAGATCGTTTACGGCGAAATTACGGAGAGAATTTTCTCTTAAAATTTACCCTGGAAATCGTGTAACCGTGAGGCAACATGGCATTTTACATTCTACCAGTAAAATGTATGGTAAAATTTCAAAAACTCCCATAAAATTCTTCGAAATGCCATGTTGTCCCGCGGTTACATGATTTTCAGGATAAACTTTAAGAAAAAATTCTCTCCGTGTAGGATTATCCCGTAAGATCTATTACTGATCCGGTTGGAAGCCGAAGCTCGATTACGGAAGCTTAATGTCGTGGGACCAACCTCGCTGCCTTGTTCAAGATCTTCGATAGGAGCGACCGAATCCGTGGTGTCTCTCCCGGCCTCTTCTTCGTGCTCGGTGCCGTGGTCTGTCTCGTCGTTTGGAGCGAACATCACGCCCTTCCACTTCAACAGACCCTTGCTACCGCCCGGGTCGTCAGTTCCTAGAATCTTTCCTGCGCGACGTAACAAAACCTCAGTCAATTGACACCCGCGAATGTTTCGTTACTTTCGCGACGGTGTGACCGTTATCTTATCGGTCTCTCCCTCTGACGCGCTCTGATTTGGTTTCAATGATAGCGGCGCAAAGTAGACGGCGTGTATATTCGCGCGATTAGAGTTGATTCTAGCGGCGGTTGCAGAGCTCATTTTTATAATCATTTTGAGTGAATGAAAGTGAAGCTTTATAGACTTGTACTAATATGTACTAATAAATTTATTATAACAGCTTTAATGTATTTAACGTAACACGTAATATATGTATATTTCTATGTAAATTTTTAGGACTTTGAAATGAGCTCTTCAATATTAATTTACGTTTACAAGTTTATAAATAGATTAAATATAAATTATAAATATATAATCATGATAAAGATAAAGTAACCGCCTCAAGTAATCACATTAATTACACGAATTCAATTAATTGTACGATTTTGAATGTAAAACGCAAGCGAGTCAACAAGACGCACCATTAATCAATCAAAGTTTGAATCCATTAATCCATCTCTCGGACGGGCAAAACGAGCAGTGAAATAATTACCCGGGATGTCCTGATCGCTCGAGTGTGTGGCCTTGCTCTTGGTTCCAGCCGGGTCACTGCCGGCGCTGCCGCAGGCTGGATTAGCGCTTTGATAAGCTGGGTTTTTGTAGCTGAAGGCGACGGTGCTGGTGCTGCTGGTGGACGAGAGCACCGGCGGCATCGAAGCCGGCTCGGACGGGAGATCGTTGTCGTGCTCGTCGCTCGACAGCACCGTCACGCTCCTCTCGTCATCGTAGCTCGGCTCGGCCAGCCGACTGCGCTCCGCCTCGGCCAGAATCACTTCGCCGTCCCCGGGATATTCACCGTCCGAGTCAACGCTGCAAAATTGGAAATGCGGCTTACCCTGCGGGGCCGACAAATCGAGGAAGCGAGGTCTGGACGCTGCATTGTTCGACTTGGCTGACTTAGATTCGTCGTCGTTGTCGCAGACGTCGTAGAACGGCGGCGGATCGATTATGTCGGTCGCAGGTGTGTTCGCCTGGGAATTGGTGATTTGCGTCCTGACGGAGCACTGGTCCGAGTCCGACGTGGTCTCCGCTTGGCTGGCCGTCGACGACGTCGTTTGCATGTCGTGCAACTTGCTCTCGGGGGTTTCTACGGCACGGAGAACGCTTGTCGTGAAGAGATTTTGTCGCGAAGGGACTCGCCGCGAGGTTCTATCATTGAGGATTGCCCAAATCCCTCGCGACTCGAGATAATTCTGAGAGACAGCTCGGCGCTAAATGTTCTGTCGTCGCTTTAACGTTATCGGAAACTCCTCAAGTAACAGCTGATGTTCGTTAATCCTTCCGCTCTCGTACAGAATTTCGAGGAATATACTTTGCAAATTAGACTCATTTTTGGATGCTCGGAAGAGTTTATATAGAATTGATAAATTGTCAAAATTCTCATCATCTCGTTGATCGCTCTTAATTATTTTTTCGCTTAAGAACCTTACAAGTATGTTCTCTCAGCTTTATCAGTCCATTTGCCTTATGACTCTTTGCATGTGTGTACATGCTGTTAATTAATTATTTACCCTTATCGGTTTCGGCAGTAGAAGTGCGCGTGGCGAGACGACGTAATCTTCGGGGCGAGTTGCACGATGCACCAGGTGATTGTTGCTTGCAGCTACTAGATCCGCTTGATGCACCAGGTGATAGTTTTCGAACCGCTAAGTCACACAGCATATCCACAGCTTCTTGTCTGTTAAAAAGTCACGTGGAACATACTGAATTATAACTCGTTTATGGAAGATCATAAATGCTGTGTTTTAGCCGGATATGATCACGTTAGCAACTTAAAGCAACTTAAGATGTAAAACAGAAGCGTCCGCGATCTTTTATCAATAATATTTTCTGTTGGCATGAAAGAATAAATTCTGTAAATTGATTCTGTATGCGATTCGATTACGTTACCGAAGAAATGTGCGTGATATAAAAACATAAAGGAATATCCGCAAGAGACGGAATCGAAATCACATTTACTATCAAATATTCTTTTATAGGTCAACGGATAAACAAGAATCAAACAGAAGAGAAATACATAACTGAACTCTCTGAGTGTTTTTTAATATTTATATCTAAAATTATTATCAACATCAAGTTTTGTTGACCGTATCTGGCAATTTTTATGTTTAAACATTGCTACGTTTCGTCCATGGGTTTTGGTCCTTTTCAAGTGATCTGACAATACAAATTAAAGATTTACAAATTAATACATAAATAAAGTAAAGAAATCCGAGATATTAAGTTTACAGTTACAAAAATCATAATTGTTAGAGGTATTACTTGAGATAGTCCTATACATAGACTCGCGTGTATTTTGGTGATGTAGAAAGGATTGTCGTGTATAATCACATACTAAAAATGAGAGCGATAGAGAGAGAGAGAGAGAGAGAGAGAGAGAGAGAGAGAGAGAGAGAGAGAGAGAGAGAGAGATGCAGAAATTTGAGTTAAATTAATAATATATAGACTTACATGCTATAAAAATTTTGTGTCGGAATTCGTTACGCGAGAACATTATTTGTGAGATGACGGAGCATGACTGACTAAAATATTCGGTAGAGGGCATAATTTAAAAACAAGTAAAAGACTGTTATCTTATGACTTTTACTTGTTTTTAAATTATACCCTCTGCCGAATATTTTAATCAGTCATCACCGCATTCCTACTCTAATATTAACATCCAAGTTCTAATGCTCTTTACTTCAAATTATCAAATACTTTAATTCTTAAATCTCAGACTATACCATTCTGCAAATGCAATTACTCGTAATTTCCTAAATGGTAAAATTAATTTTCTCAAAAACAAAGTCTCATGCGAGAAGAATTTAGTTTACATTTTCAACGTATTTTTTCATCTGACATTTTTTAATTGTAATACCATCAGTTACAGTACACGTTCTGTATAAATACGACACGAGGCATGATCTAATTGCCTGGGTCAATACCTCAAACTCGTTCGTGGCGGACGGAGAGGGTGATCGGGTTCGGTGGGCGAGAGTGCCGAGACCGGGGTTTGCGCCAGATCTCGGTACAGCCGCAACTTCACCGTCGGTCCACATTGTCGCAACAGCTGGACCGCTTGCTCGTGGCTCATCGGCGACAACGGCTCACCGTCCACCGCGACGATCTTGTCACCCGGCCGAATTCTGCCGTCGCTCAGAGCCGGTTCTCGGACTAGTGCGCGCACGTAGTGGCCCAGGGCACTGCTATCTGCCTTCCTCAAAGTGAAACCGAGACTGCCCTCAACTTTTGTCATCTCGATGTCAAACTCCTGCAAAAGAAAAATTGCATTCGTTATTATCTTAAGCGCTGTATTAATTATATCAATTGGAGAGTATGTTCTTTGTCCGTGCTGTAAAGAAATCTTATTGCGAAAAATATTACCTCAGCCAGGATTCGAACCTGGGACCTCCGTCAATCCGTGACGAGCGTAAAAAATATATTTTCGTAACCGTGTAAAAAATATACATATACATATTCGTCGAGTCGGGATGCACGTATGAATTCTACGTGTGGAATATCCGACTGCACGTTTTACATGTTTCTCTTTAGAGCTGTAGTACGCAATGTAGTACGAATGTAATATGTACGCTATTGTTTATGAGTATTACTTCAAGAATCGATATTAAAGTTTCCTCAGGAGAATCGAATATCGGAATTAATACGTAATGTACATACGAGATATATGTCAGGCTTATCGCTTTATTTAATCGCGACCACTGCAGTTTGAATGCCACGATAATAAATTAAGTTTCAGAAAAGATAAATCTACATAAATTAAATCTATTTATTTTCTGTCGGTATTTTTTATCATTATTTAAAATAGACCCATTAAGCTAATCGTTTATTCTATATTCATTGTATATGTTTCTCCGGGGATAGCGTTTCGGAGCAAAGTGTCGCACGTGAATAATTTGTTTGTTTGTACATTACCGTGAGGAATTAAACACTGTTATTATTATTTCTATCGTCAAATACGGATATCGTTCATTCATAACATTCATAATATTCAAAATTAATAATCCCTCTTTGTTAAAATTTAAATTTATCGCCACATTATCGGACGAATAACATCCAGAGGCTACAACATTAATAAAATTTGGCATTGCATTAAATCCTATTATTAATAACAAAATAATTATCTCATAGGAATAATGTACGATCGATGATATTAAACCATTTTTCTTACATATAAAAGCATAATATTTTAGTACAGGAAAATGTTATTTATAAAGTAAAGCTAGATAAAAATAAATGATCAAACGCTTTTACGTAGAGTTTATTAAAAATTCGTTCGATACTTCTCATCGATTTATTTATTCATTCGAGAAACGATAGCGCGACGACCGTGCATATATTCATGGAGTGTTTAGGTGGAGCATTACTTACGCCGCAGGGCTCGATCTGCAGGGGCGGCAGAGGGTTAAGTAAACGTAACGGCGGCGGTGGCTCTCGTCTTACTGGGGGTGGCGGCGGTGCACCGGGTGGCGTGACATTACTATCTCCTGGAAGCCGGCATACCACCAGCTCGACCGTGCTGGGCGTCGTACGCAGAACTTCGAGAGCAGCCTGCAACAAGTAGCATCGAAATAAGATTACGCGCTCTCTCGTAACACAAAGATAACGCCCTCGAAGTCACCGCCTCGGCGTCGTCTTCTTTAAGGGCGTTATTATGGTGGTCCAAAAGCTGGAGGGGTGCTACACCGTATTCCGCTAGTTTGCAATAAAAGCGAAACGGAATGACGATAGGTCTCGAGATGTGAAGTCGAGATGGGATGATATATAAGGTGGTCTGAAATACGTGCACGGAAAGACCGTTGAGGCAAAAATAACTAAAGTTAAAATGTTGCCGTATAAATAGTAGGGGCATCTACATTGTTTTGTGTTGCAACATTCACCAAGTTTGCTGCACAAAACGTATATAGGTAGTTGTCTCCACTACTTATCATACCAATGTGGGTATGACAACCACAGATATAGCTGTCCCAAATATTACTATTTATTGGGGTTGTGCCAACCCTAATTAGACATGTGGTAACCATATCGGTCTCTCCGTGTGATGCGTAACCGAGAAGGGGATGCTCTACGCCACGAACAATACGCTCTTTCGCCAGACAAAAATTTCGGTGTATTTTAAAATGAGACACCCTGTATAATAAAAAGCGGGGAATATTATTTCCAATGTAAATACGATTATTACTATTACAGTTATTCGAAATTTTACTTGTGGTTGTTATTGCAATATTTATAGTACATCGTACCAAGTTAAAGGCTCGTTTTGGGTTATGACATATCATGAGTTGCATGGACCAATATTGTGTCTATAAGAACTATAATATAATACATTGTTAGGTCAACCATAACTTACGTAGTTGGAAGAATTATAAAATGTAGTCGACTCCTAAAATGACTATAAATTATAGTGAGATTGTGGTAATTGCAACCATTTTTTTCTGTCGGTGTATGTTTTTCGACACACCCTGTACGTAAAAAAATAGATAAATTACAGATAGATTTGGAAAAAGACTTCGACGTTACTTAACATTTCTTTGCCGATAAAATTCTTGAAACTTGAAGGAGTTGTTTTTGCGCCCATCTTTTGCAATTTGTTATCGTGAATGTTCTGTATTTCACGGCGCGCTTGAAACAAATTACATTAGCGGGATATAAAAATTCTCAAATGTTTATTCACGCTCGGGAAAGGTAAATCGTATTCCCTGTGTATTTTTACGTCGCGGTATAAATTGAAAATCGCTGCTCTTTAATTTCTTATCAAATTTACATTTAACGAGCGGCGAGCGTGCGATTTTTTTACTTTTGTAACGACTGCGGTTGAACGCGGTCGCGACCACTTTCCCGACTGGTGTCCTGTAGCAAAGCGGAGCAATCGAGTTAAGATAAAGTAAACGTTTTAACGTCTTCCGTCGCCGAGTCCGTGCGTTTCGCGGAGAATGCGCGAGAGAGCCGCAGCAGCAGCGTGCGAGTTTACGACGCGAGCATACGCGTTTGCGTACCGGCAGAAGGAGGCACCATTGCTTTTGCCCTCGTGGGACAAGCTGCCAAGTACACGCAAGATAACGTCTATCCTCTCGTCGGAGCTCGCGGGCGTAGCTGCATTATGCTAATCCAATGCAAATCTTGGCGAGAGCCGCGAGAAGAGAGCAAGGCTGAGGCCGCCAGTCGAGAGAACGCAGCGATCATTACTACCGAGTACTCAGAACACGTAACGGTGTGTGTATGTGCGCTTTACTGCGTTTATCTAATATCAGTAGAACAGTGCGTTGCTTCTTCCTCGAAAACAGACGTTGTTATCCGTGTTGTCAGTGAAATAAACAATAATTTTTCTAAGAATTAATGTAAAATATCTACGAAATATCGTTACACGTAGCGATAACGCATTTTCCTTTATCGATTCGACTCGTTCATTCGTAGTTGGCTGCGCCGCTCCGTTTCTACCTGTCATTGATTCTCAATCGTAGTTAATTGATTACTCACGTAATTGGTAAGGCCAGTCAGCGGGATTCCGTTGGCAGCCAGCAGTATGTCGCCAGTTTGAAGTTTGTTGGACAAGGCGGCGGGTTGTTGAGGAAAGAGCCTTTTCACCCTGACGGGCCCCGCGGTGCCGCCGCCGGAAACGCTCAGGCCGAGACCGCGACTACTTTTCTGTAGCGTCACTCGGAATGTGCTCTCTGAAAGAATTATTTAAACATTTTTATTATTTTGTTTAAGTGCCCCTTGGACAGCGTTGTGTCTCGCCCGAGAATATTTCGCTTATCTCACATAGCTGATCCAGCCATTTCCACGAGCTGAACGTGTAAATTGCTGAATACCATTCTACAAAACTTGTGACTTCATTTTTATCCGCTACGGTCCATGTGATAAATTTATTAGTTCTTTAAATGACGGACGCTCGTTACTCTCTAGAAATCAATCAGTGAATTATCACTGAAAACAACGAATAGTCAGTACTCCACTGATTGATTTTTAGAAAGTGTGAAAAGATAGACAAGACAAATAATTAGATATCGTCCATCGATTTTAATATGTAAATTTGCTAACGACAATGATTCCATCTAAACGACACTGTGTTAAGTCCGACAAGAAATCGGCGCGCAGCGCGAGTCGAAATTTTTGCCCTATGTTGAACCTTTAATTCTATTATATAGTAGGACCTAAAGACAGTAAGTTACAAAATTAGACCTAAGACAGTAAGACAAAATTTACTCCTACTTAAAAACCGATAGTGTCGGAAATTTCTACTTTTGCCAATATATCATTAAAGTAGGTCCTTTTAAGTAGGAGTTAAAGTAAATTTTTAGAATTAAAGATTCAAGGGAGGAGTAAAAAATATAACGTCATCAAAGTAGGTTATTGCTGATCTATGTAGGTGTATAGATCAGCTAAGTAGGTGTAGATTATCCTTAAAAGTGTCAAAATAGTACCAACATCTCGACTCGGGAGGACAGGTGAAAAACGGTATGTGAATTCACATACTACATAAAAAGTTATTGAGCTACCTACATCTCGCTCTGATCTCATAGACGTTCTCGCTTTCTCGGTCACTACATCGTAACGTCGCACGTAACGATATCGATTATAATTGAGCACGGGGCAAAGAATGGGCCTTGTCCTAATTGAAATTCTCATTTCTCGGAATTGCGTCCGGGGTGTAGGGTAATTCGGCGCTCCTACGGGAGTGACGCATGGCCTAATATCTGGTAGCAGAGCTACAATAGGAACAATTACTTTCTGTCGCAGTGTTCCGCGCAACACTGCGGTGCACTGCGTGCATATTTCAACCGCTGCAGCAGCTTCCGCGGGATGCGCCCTGTCGGTCATAATTTTCGTGGCACTCACTCGGAGGACGTGTTTCTGAAATGTGTATAAACACGCGCGCGTGACGCGGGCGCACGCCGTTTCCCCGACGTAGCCTGGCATCGCGCATCGTCGGAATTCGCTGACAGTCGCAACGATCGCACGAGGGATTGTTTGATTTCAGGAACTTCGATTTTATGCAACTATGCCACGTGCCGCAGTTTGCGTTGCGCTAACGCTTAAAGCTGAAGTGTTACAAAGCGGAGCGTTGTGCCACTTAGCGCCAATTAAAATGCCGTGACGACCGCAGCAAACCTAACGCAGAATTCAATTCATTAAAAGTTCGAAGCGACATTATGTTAAACCGGCAAATTTGCGATTGAAAGGAGTTAATGGCGTTTGATTTGAGAGTTCTTGCTTTGCATATCATTGAACGCTGATTAAATCTATTCATCCCTTCTCATATGAAATGTGTTATCGAATGTTCAAATTTATTGTTTAAATAAAGTAAATTGTGCTACCTACATCATTTTACGTACGACCACACGTTTATTTATCTTTTACCAGATCTACTTTGCAGTACAATCAAGATTCATCTTATTAACAACGTCTGATCTTATTTCTTAACATACATACAAAATATAAGAAATGAAAAATCGTAGTTGAACAAACATTCGATAGCACGAGACGACGCGATCGGTCTCGTTTTCCGGCACCTCCGTAAGCAACTCGTTTACGCAAATCGAGTCTTTTTATGTGGTTTGATTATGTGAAAATTAATGCAGAAGGGGACTTCCAGTTTCGGAATGACCCATCGTTACCGGATATTGACCCAATTCAATTGACATATCGTGCGTATTGTTCACTTTGTTCGCTTTGCTCGCTATTCAAATCGTGGCCTCTCCCGCGCTCGCTACCTTACGAAGGGGTAATTTACGTTTACCGCGTTATTGTCTGGAGTCACACAGTGTCACTCTTTACGAGAGAGAGAAAGAAAGAGAGAGAAGAGAGAGAGAGAGAGAGAGAGGGGGGGGGGGGGGGGGGAGCCATTGTTAGAATCGCTTCGAAATTGCAGGGTTCACGTTCAATGGATTCCTCGATCATTTGCTAAACGCCTTTCGAAATTGGACGGGCGAATCAACGAGTCCGAGAGTGACGATTTTCCCGTGTCACTCCGTGCCACGTGTGTACGTACGTACATTGTTCGACCGCGCACACGACTATTACAATTAAGATCACAGTTGCTGACAAAGCGGTTGCACTTTAGAAACTACTGGCCGAAGAACGATAATTTCTGTGCTTCCATGCATTCTGAGAATGATTACGGTTTAACTTTAGTAAGCAAGCTACAACGACGAAACTCTTGTATGCGATCGTTCGTTTAAGAGCGAATGTATCTGAAAGTAAATTCATGAAAAGACAACCAATCACATTTCTTATAAGCGCGCACGGAAAAAAAATGTAGCTACCGTAGCTGAAAACTGCACGTGGTAAGTAAATTTCAGGTGTAAAATATGGACAGCTGATATTTAGCTGTGACAACCGTTTGCTGTGCTCTAGAAATTTACAGTTACGGCAGCAAACTAGTTTTAGCAAACCACGATTAGCTAAGGTGGCGAAAAAACTTTTTCAGTGCGTTATAAAAATCAATGTGTGCAAATTTCACTCGGCTTATGTCATAATTGAATCACAAATCGTTATTCACAACGATTACACGATCTAATTTTCCACTAAACAGATTTCACTCCATGGTTAATAAATTCACGATGAAACCACCCTGCTATCTCATAATAGGGGACTTTCCTCTAAAACTATACTGTTCAAGTTATATAATTAACTCTCAATTATTAATCAATCCGGTACCAAGCGATCTCAGCGGTGTTAATTAATCATAGCTGCTAAAATGTCACTTCTCTGTTCACATATAACTCTCTCGTATTCTCTCAAGAAGCAACTGGAGATATCAACTAGCTGTTAATTAATCAGGACTGTCGGTAAGACTCGACGCCAAATGAAGCGACGTAAAGTATGTTCCGACGTCTCGAGTTGCAGCGCCAATCATGACAGTTTACTCCGCGATGCAAGTGGGAACAAATGCGGCGCTCGGTGCATCCGTATTTTACGTCAGGCGAGGTGCACCGCACCGCAAATACGCGAGCCACCTCCACGGTGGTCTCCCCGTCTCCCTCCGGTCTACTCTGAAATAAATGCAGAACGATGAGGAGGAGACGCTGGTATCGCCTCGCGTGGATCAGGCGCGTTCCCTCGAGCTGCGGCTAACTCAATCTCCAGTCCGCGCGCAGAACTCGGTGTCGCCCTACATCCGCGGACGGTAAAAACCATCCGATTAAGGAAACGATCAGTTATACGCGCGGGCGGGCGGCCGTTTAATTAAGGCTACGTCGGCGTTTAGGTCGGTCAGCGAAATCTACAACGGGCGGGCTCGTGAAAGAGGAAAGAGGATGCCGCCCCTGCGGGGCTTACATGCGAACGACACGACCCAACACGTATGCAACGTCCGTTATGGAATCCATTACGAGATAGCAGAATGCCGCCCGCGCGGCCCGCGATGAAGATACCGATATATTTACGGGTCTGACAAACTCGCCGTTACGTCGGCGCGAGGATTATCGTCCGGCGGAGTCGGAGGCTCCTCTTAAAGTCCTCCAATCCCCCATTCGTTCGATAATGGAATCGCTCTTAACGTAGCGCGAGCAATTCTCCAAATTGCGTAATGGTGAATTATCTCTCCGTTCGAGGAGAACGCGAGCAATTTGGTGTCCGCGAGGAAAAGAAGACGCTCCCTTTTACCGCCTTAATAAGCCGTTATTCAAAGCAATAACTTTTAACTAATGGAGCATACTGCAATTTATACAGCGCGAAAGTTGCGTCTAATGATGGCAACTTGCGCTGATCCAAGAGGAAAAGAACGAGAAGTCCTATATATATCAGGGCTCTCTCATTCGAGAGTTCGCGCGGACGATCTTTTAATGCTCGTACCGAAATTAAAATCAAGAGGCGATGGTCAATGCCGGCCGTAAAATGGGGCCTTCAAAGAGCGCGCGATAGAGCGTGCAAACGGGACGAAATGTTGTACAGAAGTACGAGTGTTTCAATAGCCCGGCGGTACCGGTCTTTAATGTCGGCTTCGTTAGCTGCAGATTGCCTGTGACACATTTTTCCTCTTTCGCCCGTCGTCCCCTCTTAGTTTTTCTCGTCATCGACATTCTAGTCCGAGGTTGCAGCTTTTCATCGACGAAAAATGCACCGTCTAACGGCGAGCGCGGCCACTCCGGGGCAAGAACTCTAATGTCGTTAGCGCGTCGAACAAATACGCACTTAACGAGCGACGTGTGCGACGATGCAAACCGGCTCGTTATGCCAATTTTAATACCCTGAGCGTGAAATTTCTTACCTCCGACGACTGCTTGCAATTTCTCGCAATTTTGCAATTTGTAATTTAATAATTACGCATTGTTAGACGTCTCCGCCAGGAGAGATCGGCACTTTTTGCCGGTAATTCATCCGCAGCGTAAATGTGCCATCTATATAGTTAAAGTTTTAATGCAAATCCAATGAGAGTTTTAGCACAAAGTTGTTTTTCGCCGGACGATATAATACTTTAATATGATTTACATGAAACGTTATAATATTCGAGTCCTAATAAGATTTACAAAATAAACTCGTGGACGCAGTGGGGTTACAAACATAAATTAAATAATCCTGCGAGAAAACGAAGGATAGTCGGCGAAGGGAGTGGCGGAATGCAATTCCAGTTCCAGAATTTCTGACAGGCCGATATTTCAACTATTCGGAAGGGTAGTATCTACAGGCCATTACTTTTCCACGTACTGCCGGCCGTAGCTGTAAGATA